GTGCAAGCATTGTGCAACACGTTTTGTTTATGCTAACAGCAACATCACCAACATGTTAGGCTAACCCCGAAATCCCACATACTCTGTCAGCACTTTTATCCACAACTTTCACCAGACCGTCTGCGCAAAGCAAAGCCTACAGGCTCCGCTGTTGCTCCCGTACGCTCTGCTCTGAGTTCCTTGGAGATCATGGAGGGCATGCGCGAGATGATTAAATTCAAAGCAGCAAAACATGCGGAAATGATCCAGGGTTTCCGCGGATCATTAAAAATAATTATAATTCATTAATTTTTTTTTTTCCATAAATTTAATTAATTTTGATGTTTTCATTAATTTTTATATTTTTTATTTATTTTTTTATTTTTCGGTGTAACAATAAACATATACCGAACCGAACCGAAAACCGTGACCATGAAACCGTGAACCGAACCGAACCGTGGATTTTGTGAACTGTTCCACCCCTAATAAACACACATATTGGTTCCCATATTTTGTTCACACTTTGACTGTTTTAACCCCGACTATTTAAAAGCACCATTTTTATATGTTTTCTTTGTACAGTGTCTGGGAACATGGCTGCACATATTATTTGCTAACTGCATTACCTAGAAATATCATGGCTAGAATAAAAAGAATTGCCAAGAAAATACAAAATGTTCCCCAATCATTTTCATTGGTTGTTCTTGAGTGAGGTTGAGGTACGTAGTTGTTCCTATTAGTGCTGTTGAACGAACGACTACTAATTAATGCCTGAGGAACAACTCTGTTATGTTGTCCTTGTAGAACAGCAGATGCATAACGGAAGTTGTTTCTTGGGGATGATGTGATGCCTTGTTGGATTTCCGAAATTGACCGTCCTCTGAATTGTCGTAACAGGTTGGTGGTGATCTCAAATGTGTAGGCTGGGTTATAGCTGGTGCCATTTTNTAGTGGAGTAGAAGGTTTGATGAGTTGTTCTTGAATGAGGCGGAGGTATGTAGTTGTTCTCATTAGTGGAGTAGAAGGTTTGATGAGTTGTTCTTAAATGAGGCGGAGGTACGTAGTTGTTCTCATTAGCGCTGTAGAACGTTCGATCAGTTGTTCTTGACTGAAGTGAATTAGTGAAGGATTGATCTTTTAGAATAGTAGATGCATTCCTAAAGTTGTTTCTCGGGGATAATGTGATGCTTTGTTGGATTTCCGAAATTGACCGTCCTCTGAATTGTCGTAAAAGGTCGGTGGTGATCTCAAATGTGTAGGCTGGGTTATAGCTGGTGCCATTTTGTGCAGAAATGCCATGATGCTGTGTGATGTAGACTTGATCTATATTCCATACCCCGTTCCCTCCAGTGGCACTAAAAATGATCCGACCTCTGTTCCATCCAATGGTTCCAAACATGGCATTAGTTACATAAGAGGGGAGCCCTCCTAATAAGTCTTTATGAACGTTACCAAATGTGTAGTATTTGTACCCCCGAGAAGGTCGCTCCAACATGTTATCGAAATTGCCGTAATGATGAGAACCAAAATCGAAATCTGGGTCAAAGGTGACCTGGATGGTACCACGATTGTCGATGTTAACTGTATTGGCAAACCAGTGTAGTAGCTCTAAGATGTTGGTGGGCTGAGGAACAGATTTTTTAACATCGTTGATGGAGTTGAGAGTTTCTCGTACTGCGTACGCTGAGGTTAGGAGAGTTAGGAGCAGAGCTGCACAGAAACTGGGCATTTTTCTTGGCATCTTCAGTTCCTGTCAAGACAATTCAGATGTGTTATTGGTATTTCTTACTGCGTGTTATTTCTCCATTTGTGGTTCCTATGCATCTTCCAGTAACTGACCTAGAGCAGTTACATGTCAGTTAATTGGTTTCATCGTGAAATACCACACCTTTTTAAGCTATACCGTAGGCACAAGACTTAAAAACAACAAACTGGTTTAGCTTGTTCTGTATGACTGATATAGTCTAAAATACAGGCTTTGAACTTGTGGAATTCCTTTTTTCATCATTTTTTTTATATCTTAATATTTGGATTTATGTAGATATGCTTCAAAGAGAAAGAAAAACTATTTGGATCAGAAAAAAAAACCTGACTGTAAAAAAAGAAAATATGTTTGATGTCATTAACGCTCAATAATTTCAACATGTTTTCTTTCCTGCATCTACAAGTTAGGCCCTGATAAGATACTTAGATTAATATTCAAACTTGTTCTCCAAGTCTAACACAACTTAATGAATGACACCTGTAAAGTAAATCCTAAATATTTCCTTGAACAATTTTCAATGGGATGAAGTGTAATTTGTGAAATTGATTATGAACTTTTGAAAGAAGAAATGTATAGTAGCAGTTAATAAATACAAATATCGAGGTTCCAAACATTTGTATGTAGAATTAGAAACTAAATCTGCCTCTTTAAGTCAGGTGTTAAAATGGCTTACCTGCTTATTAGTCAGATGCTGCCAGGTGGCTGATTTGTGTCAGTCTGTGTACGTGAGACTAAGCTATGGTCTGAAAAGAGCTTTGTTTCCTGGAAAACATGTAAAGGAACAAAACATATTTGGTGATGGTGGGTTGGACCGACTCTAAAGAAAAAAAAAAAATCTTCCTCATCTGTTTGTAGGAAGTTGCTATACCATTGGTCAAGGCTGCCGACATTTGCAAGCTTGATATATTTACATTTAGTTAGTGTGTCAGACTTCAGATAAATGTAGTAATTGTAAAATGTACACTTTGGGAGCATGAATATGTTTTTGTCTTTGTTTTCTGGAATGTTGTTAGTTCAGTTTGTGCTTAACTGTCTTAAAGAATTTTAAACATCCATTTTCAGTAAAAGGTGTGAAGGCTTTGTACAGGTAGTGTAAAATTAAGTTCCTCTTTTACAAGAGCTGGTGGAGAGATTATATGGCCTGTCCCATATATCATCGAAAGTTTTATATACTTTGAGTTATCATGTAGCATGTTATTTTATATGTATTATTTTATGTTGACAGCACACTACACACTGACCATTGACTGCTGCATAGCAGATGTTGAGAAAAGTAAGAAATTGTGGAAAATAATCAACAAACCAAAGACTTATGCAAGTATCATAACAAGGCTGTTACCTATTACTCATTTATTTGTTTTTAGTTGTTTAGCTTGTTTACTTGGTAAATTATCTGACCTAAGAGTTTATCATATGATGCATTTATAAAACTGTACCTATAGAATTATATCTGATGATCGACTTAGGTAATGTCAATGAACTAAATCAAAATGTGAAGATATTTATAGATGGCTATTCTTTTAATTTAGCTGAGCTGAGGAATAGATCCTGCTTGTAGGCATTTTTACAACTACTTTTAGTTATCTCACAGTATGCTTTCTGAAACTCTCGCTTCCTGATGAGAAATGACGCCCCAACAGATTTTGGACAAGAAGGTCTGGTTCTCAGTCTCCACATTAATTCATCCCAAAGGTGATGAAGGCCAGTCAAGTTCATCCATATTAGACTCTGCTATCCATATCTTTATGGACTTTGCTTTTTGCACTGGTCATATTGTAATAATTTTAAGGGAAGGCTCATGAGTTCCTATTAATGATTGATCGGAATAGTTAAATTATTCATCTGACAGCAAACAAATCTGTTTAAAGTTAAAATTTAAATTAAATTTAAAAGGTTTTAGTCAGTTTTATGTTGCCAAAAAAGTTAACCTTTACACTTTAGAATAACAACCAGATACTTTACCAGACTGACATCTCTTGCCTAGATACTGCAATTGCTGGGTATAGAATGTTGCCATGCAGTTCATCATTGCTGTTGGGCAGAAAACTGATTTATAGAATTCAAATAAACTTTCTTAAGAATTAATGCCCTACTTTATACAAAAGTGACTCACAAAACTTGTGAAAATAGCAGATCTAGTTCAAAACATCATATTGGTTAATATAGCAACAGACAAGCTAACAAAATGTACTATTAAGGAATGTTTTAGACATATAAGGTTTCCATACCAAAGCAAATATTTCCTGATCTACTAGGAATTATGCATTAGACACAGATTAATAAAATCTTCATTGCTCCAAAAAAAGAAGAAGCAAAGAACAAAAACATTTTTTTTTTGCTTTGACCATTTTGGCTTTATTTCAAAGAAATTCCAACTTTGTTACCGCTGCTCAGGGGTCAAAGTATATTTAAATTTACAGGGTTTTGAAAGAAAAGATAACCTGCATATTTACCTTGTAATGCCATGGCACTCCAGACCTAAATTGAATCAATATGCTAACTAGAATGCTGACATATTTAAAGGAAACAGAGAAAAGATTTTAATGACAATTCAAGGAAACATTTACATCATATTCAAATAGATAGGAGAACAATCGGAGAGAACTATTTAAATGTCTATGTAGCTTTTCATCTGGCTCTTTATCCAAAAATAAACAGAATCCAATGAAATATTTGCTTTGAATATAATTTAGGGATTCTTTTTGGTAGAAATTAAAAAAGGTTCAGTATCACCCCTTGTGAGCTGAAATGAAATAAAAAAAAAAATGATAGTAAAGGGATTATTTACTCTTGGAAGAGGATTATCAGCCACACAAAGTTTATTAACTGATTACTGCACAATGATTCAGCTTAAAAGTCTGACCGACGATCTGCTACTTTTTTTTTGTACAGTCTCGTCTAAAACTAAAAACTTGACTAAAACTCAAACCCATGACTAGTCATATTTCAGACATCAAAGATTCATCTTTAGCTCATCAAGTTTCGTTATCAAAAAAATAACATTAAGGAAATTATTTCATCATCGTCATTTTTGACGAAAACAACTCTGAATGCTGGTTAAGAATTTTCTGTAATTGAACACCACTGGATTGAGTAATTGATCTTTTTGAGGTTTGAGGTGCATGAACTATATCACAGCTACCATGCTTAAAGTCCATATTGTAAATAGATTACAGCAAAATGTATATTTAAGTACCTTTAAAGCTAGGCAAAATGTTATCCGTTGAAACCCTACCAGATTAAAAGAATTCATGGCTCATAACATTTGCTTAATCAGTTTTCATAAACACACCCTTTATTCTATACTACAGGCATCAGTCATACTCAAGAACAATAACTGGTTTAACTTGTTATTTTACAGTCTAAATGGGGAATCTAAAAGTCATTATAGGATTATAGGATTTTTTAACGTAACAAATGTGGTTTACTCGTCCATTCTAACAAACGGGCGTTTCCAGTAGTCCTTCAGGTGATGCTGGATTTCAGTTGATTGAAGTGGTAATGTGATCCATAACATGGGATAGCTTTTTGCAACAGGTGTATGAACAATGTAATGTAATATGAGCTTGGTCGGCCAATTGTGATTTCTTAGTCTGTAGTCTTCCTTCTTATTTTGTTCACTGTCTTTCACTACAGTTAAACAAATGGTCAGAAAACAAAAACGTCTGTTAGCTGTTATGTGTTTTGTTCTGCAATGTTTTTATAGGGTTCAAACACAGCTGTCTAGCTGCTGGATTTAACTGGATATTGCTTAATGTGGTTCATTGTAATATTTGGAAAAATCGTTATAATTTACACAAGGAAATTATTCGTTTTGTGAAGTACAATTAATCTTTGAAATATTTTCGTCTGACTGTAATAGAGCAGTGTCTGCAGCCTCTACGTACCTTGCTTCATACAACTCCAGTACTTCTTATAAATGTCACTAATCCTATTTGTAATATTCGATATAGTACAAATAAGGAAAGGGTGGACATTTTGAGAGCATCACACATTTTGAAAAGATATTACAATATAAAGGGCTCATAATAACATCTGCAGCTCATTTACATAAATTGTGTTGATTCTTATATCAAAAAAGAACATTTCAAACAAAATTGTAAAGTAAAATGTGTGTGCACATTTTAGAACACAGGGGTTATTTTCATGTTTACAGTGTGACTTATTGTCTGGAAAATTGGTCTTATTTTATATTTATCATTATACCTAAAAAAGACAAAACAAAAATGATAATGATAAACAGAATTGCCTTGCAGATCATCCACAGAAAGCTGTCGCCATTGTGGTTTGTACTTGGCCTTTTTAGAGACTGTTCATTTAAATGATGGGAGGATCCATGTCGATTTCCTCTGTGGAACCTGATGGCATGTTGTTGGATATCATTAATGTCTCTCTGTCTGATAGCCAATAGAAGGTCTGTTGTGATTCTGTAGGTATTGCCTTCATCATAATGTATTCCTCCATCTACAGGGTGCTGAGTGATGTAAACTTGGTCTATTGTCTGTCCAATTTCAGGCCCATTGCTGCCCACATGGACTCTAAATATGACCCGAGCTCTGGTATGGTTTACATTTCTCCTCCAAGGATTTCTCACGTAGTCTGGAAGTGATTGTAAAACATCTTTATAAGGATTACCAACTGTATAGTACTTGTAGCCCCGGGGTGCTGAATCCAGCAGATTCTCACCATTTCCAAAGTAATGTGAGCCATATTCAGATATGGGGTCGAAGGTAAGAAGGATGCGATTATCAATGTCAACTTGATTGGCAAACCAGTATAGCAGCTCTAGAACATTTGTGTCCTCAGAGAGGGGGCAGCCAATCAGATCTGTGATGGATTTCAGACTTCTCTGTGCAGCAAACACCGAGGTCAGAATGAAGGACACAGCAACACAGAAAGTGTTTATTCTTGACATCCTTACTCCTGTGGAGAAATATTTCTCATTATTTATCCATGCTGTATTCAGTTAGTTTAGTTAACTATTTTCTTTATTTAGATTAAGACCTGCTGCATGGTGTGCACTAAAAGATATTTCAAAATACCTTAATTTAATAAATATCTGAATAAAGCAATTTGTTATAAAGCTCTTAAACAGAAGTGAAATTTTAATCTTTGTTTAAACCAAGTTACTACAGTACAAAGAAGTGTATCTATAATGGAAGAGGAACTTTCAGAAAGGAAAACATGCTGATTTATAACACTGCTGGTCTAAAACTTCACTACATATAGTAAAAAAAAAGATTTTCATTTCTAGATTACTTGTACTTCTAGAAGAAGTATTAAGAAACTTTTCTTATCAGAAATCAGTAGAGCTTACCTTCGAAGTCAACTTTCGTAAGGTCTGTAGTTGGTGTCTGAGAGTGATAGTTTCTCTATTTTTTCCTTCTTTCCGTTTCATACAAAATGAAACCTAGTGAGCTATAGTGACGTGCAGCCAGTGGGGTAATAGCTTTGCAAAAAAAATACTTCCTTTAGTCAGAGAAACTGGATAAACTTATTAATCTGCTGTTTTAATGAGAATTTTAAAGAGCAAAAATGTTAGACTTGGTCTACATAAGTGCCCCTAAGCCTGTTGACCTCTTATAACGGTTATAAAAAAATAATCTTAGAGTAAAGTTCAGGATAAAAATGCAATAAAACTCATTTACAGTGGACTTCTCTCTGCCTGTCCTTATTTCCTGTATCTCTTGGTCCACCAGGCAAAACGACTTGAAGAACAATGAATTTAATATTTTGTTTTCAAAATGTTATCCCATTTTGTTTTCCTTTTTACCATTCAGTAATTGTCTTTCCAAGTAAGGA